AGACTTTTGCCTTCAGACGTAGTTAATTATGAAGTTATTACCCTATCCGATAATAATCCAATGCAGAGGCAATAATGTAATATAATACATTATTTTATATATATTATATAGTCTTAAAGTTACAACTGGCCATTTGAGTGCAACCATAATGCTAATGTGGCCCACGATGAAATTGAGTTTGACACCCCTGCAGTAGAGGGAGAATATTATTTGCCATGGCACTTTGTTTAGGATGTGGGCTAAGAATAACTAAAACTGAAAGAAAAGTATCCATCTGTTTCACTTAACAGTCATTTGATCAATTGCTCATTACATTACATGTTACTTATTACACGCTTTTATCCAAAGCGACTTACATACTCAATACTGTGGGCAATCCCCACAGGAGCAATTTGGGGTGAAGTGTCTTGCCCAGGGACACAACGACATGCTGACAGCAGTGGGGTTTGAACCTGTGACCCCCTGATCCCACCACCAAGGCTCTATCCACTGCGCCACACGCCTCCCTCATTAAAATATAAGTAGATTAAAGTAACTTTGAGTATAATTTGCTTTTCTCAGTCCTCTTGGTTTTAATGTTTAAGCAAAACCAAAATCTACAAAGGCTCCTTATTTCTCCTCAGGTTATTATAACTGAAGTAAAGTAATTCTGTCAAGACAGTTGGTTACAATGAAATGAGAGGTCTGGTATAAACTAAAATGTCCTTTGACCTAACATCTGCCAACATGTACACATCAGGATTAGGGTCTATGTATTCATGTGAGCTCGGTTTCGAATGATCTCTGTGCTTGGAATTTATTTGATTTGTTGAATCAAAATAAATGCCTCTCAACAGGCGATTGTGGCTCAGCTGGGATTTAATCGACCCAGATGGAATCGAATAGATTTGCGGAGAAATCAAAATAGAAATCGTAATAGAGCCTGTCAGGTTTGGATCCTGGGAGCTGGGTTGTACGGGTGGAAGCCTTCAGAGAGAAAGCTAATCACTTTCAGATGACCAGAGTCTCGTCCCAGTTTGAATGTGTACTTTGTATTCTGTGTGTATTTAGGTATCAGATATGTCCATCTGTGCAGTTTTCTTGACTGTAACAATGAGAAAAATGTGTCTGAGATCAGATTGAAACAATCAATGGATACTCTTACACTTTGAATACAGTCATGACTAGTATATGTCAAGTATAACAAAAAGATTCAAAGCAGCGTTGTTTGAAAGTGCATGATGATTTATGCATGTAGAGACACATCAAGGTTTAACTGTCCTCGGAAACACTGTGCCCTTATGACATCCCCAAAGTGCTGAGTGACATTTTCACTGCTGCGATTTGTCCCCTTTTCTTTCCATGATCAAAGTCCAAAACTTAGAAACATCTGGCACTTAACCAGAGACTCTGCTTGATCTCTTAAAAACACAACATATGTGGCTCCGATTGCACATGGCATCTCAGAAACTCGAACTGTGCGGCTCTCACTGTGTATCAATATCGTATCGCTCTCAAGACTTTTACCCCCTCCCGCTTCACCCTCTGTATATTTGCGCCATTATCTCGAGTGAGATACCACTCCTTAAAAGCTCATCAACGCAGATTTTCCCTCAGAGCCCGTTCTCTTCTTGTTTTTCTTTGATAAGCGAAAGTCCTTCCCTCTCCTTTTTGGGACAGATACACAACTCCCTCCCTCCCGAAGCCTCCTTTCTCATGACAGATGACTTCACTCACTCATTCTAGACAGAGCCCTGGATAGGCCCCCTAGGCATGCATACTTAGGGCAAATACACACACACACACACACACACACACACACACACACACACACACACACACACACACACACACACACACACACACACACACACACACACACACACACACACACACACACACACACACACACACACACACACACACACACACACACACCACACACCACACCACACACACCACACACACACACACACACACACACACACAACACACACACACACACACACACACACACACACACTCACACACACACACACCACTGCAGCTGACCTTGTGTAGAGGTTGCAGCTTCAATAAAGCCCCCAAAAGCCTCCTAATCCTGTTCCACCGGGCCAAGGAATCAACTGAACCCTTCCTCCTCTATTCAGGATCCTGCACTTGTTTAAATGAGAGCTGTTCAAGACTAAAAAAGGCATTCATAAAAATTGAATTGAATGATTTGAATCAAAAACTACAGTACTGTAATACATGAAGGCCTCTCATAATGTTCAAATGAAAAGGAGCAAAGCTGTCTGTGTCAAGCGTGTTGTACGTTGTACCTCAAACAGCTTTGTAACCGCAATCATTAGTTGTCATTCTGGCATGTGTTCCCAGTGAAACTGGATGACATTTTCTTTGTTATATCATGGATATCCTGCTTTGAAATGGTTTTTCCAGGTTGTGGTAAGAGTAAATGTTGCAGTAAAAGGTTGCAACTTGTTTGAATAGGAATATCTAGAACAGGTAGAGTGGTTTCATGCAGGTGTATGCTTTGGTGTGGTGTGTTCTAATATAAACAGAGTCGAGAAATATTTCTAATGTTTTCACCAGTTACGCTTGATAAAAAAGCCAAGAGGTCAGCCATTGACCGTGCAGAACTGTGTCAGGTTGGTATGTGCTCCTCTATGTAATTCCTCATGAGATTGAGTAGCTGTTCAAGGACCACTTAATTAAACTTGGACAGTTTCAGCCATGCACTTAATCACGTCTGTATTGTTGTGGTTTTTTGACAAAAAGTGATTCAGACTTCGCCATGCTATTCAAAAGTTTCAAGGTCTTGAACTTTATAACTTGAAGTTGAATATAATCTGTCATTACTGAATGCTTATTGCATGCTATTGAAAAACCACTGGAGCTTTGCCAAATGTTATAAATTAAGCTAAGCTGCAATGAATTTCTTGTGACTGCTCATGCTTAATTTTATAACATAATTCAGAGGGCAAAAGTCAAGACTGCAGCTGTTACGTGTGACTGACATTTTAATGAGTGAATAGTCCGAAAGGAAGACTTGGCTCCATATCAAGAGTAATAATAAAGCATGTTTACACACCAGCAACAAGAGGATAAAATATTATTTGTTGTTTAAATATCTCAAGTTGGAATTCCCATTTCAATGGAATTTCAATACCCCCAGGGTTCCATTGGTGGATATCCCTGTTGTGAATGATATAAAGAAAGGGTTGGTTCAGCCATATCTCGCTATGTGTGTGTGAGAGCAGTTCTTTACACCTTGTCATGCAATCATAGGGAGAATTGTTGGTGTACACATATTTTACCATATAGGACAAAGAAAGCAATTGTTAGTTGTTTTATTTTTAAAATGTCATCCCATACTCCTTTGAGACCAAACCAAATTGAGATAATACTTATTTATTTGGCTTTATATTATCAGTGTTCTTCTAGGATATGTTGTGCATCTTGTTTAGGTAGAACATTAAGATTAAGATTCTTCTCACAACTTGTTTCGACTGCTGCACCACTTAAACTGTGAACCACGGGAAGCAGTAATAGCAAGAATAGAAATTATCTCTTGCATCCGGGGGGTTTGCCAAGTCGGCTAACTTTGCCTTGAAGACGATAAGGCTGCTAATAATAAGAGCCTCATGCTTGGTTGTGGACACTCTTGACTGAGGAAGTAATTAAGTTCAAGCAGTTTATCAGTGGCTGGCCGGAGATGTGCTGTCTTTGTGTGATAAAGAGGAGCTGGTGAGGTATGCCCTTCTCTTAAGTGTCCACCCCACCCTTTTTTCATCCTCTCCTGCTCAGTCCACTTCCCATAGGGGAAGCCCAAAGCAGATTGAGGCTGAGAGCCACACAACTTAGCCATCATGTCATTCATTGCTCGGCCTGTCCCTCCCCACTCTCCTCAAATGTCCAATCAGGCTAATTTTAGCCCGTGTTAGAGGGCCGTGTTAAATTTGGCAGCATGCCCCCAAGCGTGCCACGATGCAGATCCGTTTGTACCGACCGCGTGCACGGAAAGTTATGCTTTTTTAGTTTTGCAGTGATGCTCCCATGTGGAGTCTACAGTAAACAGAATTAGAATAGGAAGGTCTATTTCTGAGAGAGACATGTGATACAGTTAAGAATGCCTTTCCCTTTCAATGATCGGAAAAAGTCTGCTTTTAGCATCCAGACGCAACTTAAAATGTCAACACAGTGTACAGAGTTAGAAACAGTACATTAAGAATCTACTGCAAAGACAGTTTGTTATGTAAACAGCGAGGAGTCTTGGCAGCTCATTACAGCTATTTGTCACCCGCTGTATACTGCACATGCATTCCTGGTCCTTGAAAAGGTAAACTGGCATTATTATAAGTCTTTTTAAAATCCAATCTTTGGATTTAATCGCTTCTAATTCTGTCTGCATTTTCACACCTCAGGCTTTGAATGTGAAAATAAGAATGAGAAATAAGATAAAAAATAAAATGTTGCTCGTTATTACAGGACTCCGAGCTAAAGACAGAGCGAGAGGCTCAAACAAAGCTGAGCTTTATTGTCTTTCAGTGGCTTCATGTGCATCGCTTATCCTTCAACGTTGCATAAAGTTGTTACATCTCTTTCACTGTGATGTAGCCTGCAGCTACAGTATGCTCCCACTTAGAGTCCTGATATGTTTCTGACTATGTAAAGGTTGACGTATTTGTTCATATTCTCAGGCCTTAGTACCGAGAGTGCATTTGAATGAATACGTTATAGCAGAGAAGCCGGAAGGCACAATTTGTTTACAGTGACAGGTGTAATGAATGAGCAGCGCACAGTGAATGTAAAACAGACCAGTGTTGTACTTAGGATATGCAGAATACTAAGTGGGTACGTAAATTAAATGTGGTTCTGTGCACACTTGGAGAGACAACAAATGGAGAGCTTGTTTTAGCCTCAGACATTGTGTGTTGGTTCAGATTGAATTCCTCTCTTTAAAACATTACAAACAAGGTATTATATAACATTCCTGTGTGGGATTTTTTTTTCTTTCACAGACAGCGAGATGGTCCCTCTGGATTGCCTGCGTCCTCGTTCTTTTGCTGCCGCCCACAGGGCCTACATTCAGCGAAACAGCGATGACCCTCGCCTTTCCATCAGCCTGTGTGACCTGAGCCTACAGCAGCAAGACACACATCTGGAAGAAGATGATGAGGAAGAGGAACGGCTACATCGCTTAAGCTCCGCCTCCTGCCATGTGCCCCAAAACTCTCAAAACTCCCAGCAGTGCTCGCTGTTGCCCAGCCACTTGGACACAGATCTGCACTTCCACTCGGTGCATGGCGTCCATGTCACTGGGCTGGATAAGCATACGGTGGCGAGGCTGGATCACCGTGGTGACGAGAGGACCCTGGTGTTCACCAATCGGCCGATGGGTTGTTCAGAGACGGTGTTTGTGAAGGTGAAGACAGGTGTAGCCCGGCCTGGGTGTCTCTCTTACGGCGTGACATCCTGTGACCCAGCCACCCTGAGGCAAAGTGACCTCCCTTCAAACCCAGAGTCCCTGGTTGACCGCAAGGAGTTCTGGGCCGTGGGTCGGGTGGCGGTGCCTCTCCACAGTGGAGATATCCTGGGCTTTGTGGTGAACACAGAAGGAGAGGTCATGATGAGCCACAACGGTGTCAGCGCGGGGATGCAGCTGTGTGTCGATAACTCCAGACCACTCTGGATGTTCTACGGTCTGCACGGCACCATCACACAACTCAGGATTTTAGGTAAGCTCACACCGCTTTTATTTTATATTAACACCTTTCAGATTTTATATTAGTTTGGGAATGATAACCTAAAACGTACCTCAGTACTTAAAATAGCTTAGTTTCACTGATTCCACATGCCTTCTTTTCTCCATTCAGAGTCAGTGATGTTTCCCATGTTATTGAACTGTCGAAGGAAACCCACAAATCCAAGCTAAAATGCAAAATTAGCAACAATTTGCAAATTATATATTTGTTCTAAGATGAAAAGATGACAGATTTAGCCCAGGAGAAAAGACAGCTTTTTTATAAGCATTAGTTGTAGCAAATGTTTAAATATAAAATCAATTCAAGGTGAAAAGAAATGTAAAATGTTGCGTAGATCTTTACACAATGTAATTTTCGTACTTTCCACTCAGAGGTTTTGCAGTCTTGGATCCCTGAATTACCTTTTGAGGCTGAATTTCCACTCAGCCGGGCCATTAAACAGTTTTCCCCTAGTTTCCAATCTTGGCTGCTCTATGACTCTTTATTAACTCGTACATCTGTCTGGCATTTACATTCAACCCCCTCACAGTTTGGATATGAATATTAACGTTGTGTCCTCTGCCATGTGACTCCAGCAGATTCCACACAGTGATGCTTGCTTTTGAGATTCTTACTCCCTGGATGTTCCTACATAGCAATAGTTTTTGGTTTGAGTCAAAGGCTGGTGAGCTTCCAAGTGGAGATCTAATCATAAGTGTATTGTCTAAATGTTCAGGACTTATTCTTTCTAAATTGTAGGATTCTTCCCCTATTGTGTTTTTTAGGAAACACTGCACTAATCTCCATCGAAGAGGTAAAAAAACGTTACCACATTTTGTGCAAATCAAGTCTAAGTTTAAAATATTTAGTATGACTTGCTCGGTTTTTAAGACTCCTGCACTTGCTAAATTCTCAATTTTTAATTAGAAGGAGCTCAAGCATGCTTGGACGTATCTTATTGTGTGACTGTGAAGTACTGAAGAGTGCAGCAAGCTAAATGTGAGTGCTTTTGATTTGTTTGCAGTCGCCGCAGATTCATCATAATTATTTGAAAACAATCTTTCGGCCGCGATGTCTTCTGGCTACAATGAAAATGACTCTGTACCAGCCGGTTAGCCTTCTCTTCACAGGAAGTGTATATATAATTAAGAGGCAAAGTTTCTGTCCTATTATTCATAACAGTTTCTCCTCTCCTCTCTTTCATGTTGTCAGTCAGACCAGGGCTGAGGAGGTTATTTCTGTCTTGCGTGGGCTCCCAGCAGCCAGCATTATGTATCAGCAGGAGGCCCGTGATAGCTCCTTATGATGCCCTCAATATGCATTATTAAAATGTAATTGCATGGAGGTTTGAGATTCTGGGTATTCCACCCACAGCTCGTTCCCCATAACACTGGTCCTCCAATCATCTTTCCCTTCTTTACTTGTGCATTTCCTTATCCTAAGCGCCCACTGCCCACCCTCAGTCCATACTGATTCTTTGGGGTATGAGCGCTGTTCGTGTCATTACCCACTCCAGCTGTGGGGAGTGCATTTGTGACGTCTGTGCGCACCCACTCTCTGGAGCCACATGCCACGCGTTGCCATGGAAACATCTAGCCGCTGAGGCAATTGACAGTTTGTCATGGCTGGGTGTTGTCAAGCCAGTGAAATGGAACAGATGGGAGACTGTTGCTCTCACGTCGTCATTATGTCCGTGTTATCTTTTAAATTTCATGTGAGACAGTTTGAATCGATTATGACCTTCAGTCGTCATACTACAGGTCTCCTGCTGTGGGTTTACGTAAGTGCTCAGCAGTAATCTTAAAGCTGATGCAATTAAGATTTTTCTATTAATTAATCATATAACTCTTTTTTCGTGAAAAGGGGTTACATAAGTGCAAACGTACAGAGATGTATCATGGCTCTAAAGCTTCCTTTAGCTCCAAGTAGCGTTTGGGCGTCTTTGACTCATTGCTTTGGTTTTGCATTGCTTTTGCAACTTCATATGTTCGCTTATGGCATTGTTTAGGCTATATGAAGTAGCCTTTTTCAGTTAAAAAAAGCTGTAAAACTGTACGACACACAGACAAAGTTATTGACATGCTAGAGCCAAAAGTGAAACACTTAACCTAGCTGCTAAAGACAGTGATATTTCCCCCAGGAGTTGGTAGAGAACAAAACAAAGCTACAATACTGGACTTAAATCCGTTAAAAAGGACCACAACACCAAATGACAGTTCTAATCCAGCTTTATAACTGATCTATAAATAGATTACATCTCTTGGCTACAACTTTGCCAAATTAGTTAAAAAGGGAATGTCAGTGTTGTGTTTACAAGCTCCTTTCTGCTGCCTCCACCGGACCAAAAGAAAATTGTTAATGCGGGTTTAAAACAAGACTTTGGGAAAGAAAGAAATAGCCTGACACGGTGTGCCAAAAACTCTTTATTTAATAAGCAAGTGTTGAAAGCCACCACATGCTTAGCCACAAATAAGTCTCCTGTACTGTCTGCATGACTAAAGCTATTCACATACTCATTCCTGGTCACACAGCCAGCAGTCAATTCATAATACAAAAGTAGATGAAAGGTACGCTTGATGAAAGGACCAGGAATAGACATGAGGGTTATCTATTCCTTCTTATTAGGAGTTCACCAAGACTTTTGCTAACAGCTGGTCTGCCACATAGGTCAGACTAAGCAAGTAATGGAAGGGAGGGAGTATAAGAGCCATAGTATTGGTACATGCCTCTAAGAAATAATAAAATAAAGAATGAAAAGATAGACGAAAAAGCTTGTCTCAGCAAAAAAAAACAGAACAAACACATTGTTCACAGCGCTAAACTTTACGTAGGCTGAAACGAGACTACAGTGGTTGGAGTGGTCCAAAGAAAGAGGCAAGAGTTCAGAGCATCGGATCAGAGCACGAAGCTAGGGTTATGCAACAAACTGTATACATTTTTCTGCAAACAACACACCACAAAAGTGTCTTTTGCTTATATTAAGCCAACAGTCTTTTGTTATTCAAGCAATTTCTCACCAACTGTGGTTCTTTTTGTAGCTGTTTCTCCACCCCACACTGCCATTGTATGAACATTTGGACAAGCAAACTGTGGGAGAGGATGCAAACAACCAATAATGGATCATTTGACACGTACTGTATGAATGACGGTGCCAAGTGAACGGCTGGCCTGACGGTTTAGCAATATTTCTGCCGTGGTCATTTGAAGGACAATGCATACACAACAATGCTGTGTGCCTGTCAGGCAGACTGGATCAGAATCTGTCTCTGAAATCAGGGTCGGTATTCTGGTCTGTGAGGAGAGACGAGTGCCAATAGAAAGAACTGATGCCAGGGCCGGTGGTTATGAGGTGCGAATAGGGACGGATCACACGGGACAGACAACAGATTCTGTGAAAGCCTTTTGTACCCTACCCAGAGGGATCATGGACTCATGAAGGGGGGGTGCTTGGCTACACCAACTCATAGGCTCTTGACTCACTTACACACACCCACACACAGACACTGTGCACTCACAAGTCATCTGCTTGGTTATAGAAGATATATAATATGTGTGTGTCAGTGTGACAGACTGAGACATTAACAGGGATGCAACAAGACATCCTCTCACCTACATTTTCTAATTAACAGCTCAGCGGAGTGTCATGATGGAAATATTTGATTCCCAGTTGGGAACGATTGCATTTAGCTTCCTTTTTATAGATGATCATATAATCATCGTTCAATTTATTTATAATCTGTAAACATTACCAGCTACTTCAATATTTTTGATATGGTCACCAGGGTTTCCCACACATAGACTATACTTGGGCGGGCCGCCCAGGTATATTAACGGCCGTCCAAGTATATTTCTCGACCCATTTAGGTTTTTTTTTATTTAGCCTATTTATTTTTTATTATTTTTTATTTTTTATTCGTCCGTGACCACGACACCATCTGCGATCGATTAACTTGTGGACAATGATCCCTCGCTCCCTTGCTCTGATCTTGCCTCCTTCTGGCCTGTTAAGTGGCCTGCCTCACACAGGGTGACTGGCTGTCCACATGATGTGGCCTGCCGACATGATCAAATCAAAGCCCTTGATTGGTCTCTGTGTGTCATTCAAGCTCGGGATAACCTCAGCTCAGGTGAGGTAAAGGACTCTGAGTGTTTAGATAGTTAACTTAGTCTAAGTTCTCAGTGGGTCTCAAACGGTGTGGTTACCATTTATGTAAACACATATTTCCATTTGAGAGGGTAGTGATTGGTCTAATGGATAGTGAGGTGGGCTGAAAATCGGAAGGCTGTGAGTTCAAATCCCGCCAGGAACACCACCACTAGTGCCCTTGAGTAAGGCACTTAGCCCTTAGTTACTCCAGGGAGAATGTCCCTGTAATCGGTCATTGTAAGTCGCTTTGGATAAAAGCGTCAGCTACATTAAATGTAATGTGATTAGTAAAATATGCATGAATAAATAAATAAAATGTTAACTAGGTGAAAAAAGGTAAGATACACTTTTAAAACTTGTTGAGAGAAAAACTAGTCTTTGCTGCTGCCTCAAAGAGGAGCAGGGGGAGAGGATGGAGAGGGGGGAGAGGAGGGAGACAGGAGAGGCTGATTCAGGAGCACAGACACACTCACAACTATAAATGAACCAAAAATAAAATAATAAACAAGTTTCAGTGTTTTTTTCATATTGGAAATGGTATGTTATTGGTTATGGCCATGATTTTATGATTATTGAAATGTATACAGTTCTGTTTAATATAGGTGTTTCCATAGATCTAGTCTCTTTATTTTCCCCTCAAAGTGCACCAGATTGATGCATTTAACTCCAAAATAAAAAATTAAATCTTACCGGGGGGGGGGGGGGGGGGGGGCATGCCCCTGGACCCCCCTAGAGGATTTGAGGTCGACCCCCACTAAAAATCACATGGATAGGTTCCTAAATACATTTATCTTTTTAAATAGAAACCCATTTCCATATGTTCATGTGTGGGTAGTAGATTTAAACTATAGGGCTATCATTATGGACCCTGCCTGTACCTGTTCGCTCTGCCATCGCGTGAAGGGTCTGCTAACAAGCGATCAACAGAAAGGTTCATGTTACCACCACCACCCCCCCAAGTATATTTCAGATCTGTGGGAAACACTGGCAGTTAATGGACCAGCACCAGAGGCGTTCCCACACACACAGGCGTTGGAGCTGTTCTTCATGAAATCCCAGAAGGATGAAGTGCTCTGACAAACAGTGCCATCTTTGCGCAAAAATGATTATACAGGAATGAAAAGTCAATAAATAAACATGTTGTTAAAACTTTTTTTTTTTTTTTCGCGCACCACCCCCCCCTCCGGTACCACCACCCGCCCAAGTATATTTCAGATCTGTGGGAAACACTGGTCACTTTCTTTAGATATACTGCTACTGTACTTAGGTGTTATTTTTTACCATAGTGTACTTATCTGTTAGTTCTTTTTACTTATTGTGTTTCTTTTTTACAATTAATAATCCGTGCATACTTTATATAATATGTAGGTCTACTCTTTTTGTGTAATCTGCACTATACTCTTGCTGTTGTAATACCATAAATGTCTCTGTTGCGGTACAAATCATGAAATTCAGATTTGTATATTGTGCTAAGTCGTTGTTATTGTGACCCAGATGTCTCTTTTGTAACTTCAGGCTCATCTCCACACCCAGACCTTCGAGGCCCGTCGGTCCCCAGCTCCCCATCCTGTACACCCAACACCCCCACAATGCTCAGCAGCGGCAACTCCGAGCCAAACCTCAACACACAATTGAACATCAAACTCAATTCAAGCCTCAACTCCAGCTACTACTCAGCCTTTTCCTCCTCCACAGGTTTGTCTAATAGTTCCAGTTTCACTATTTGTCTATGTTTTCTCCCTATGGGTATTTGCTAAGCAGATGTTTGTGATATTTTTTCTTTGTTTTGTTTATGAAATTGATAAAAATGCAGACATGCGGGAGAGCAATAGAACAATAGAACAGCCGTCGGCACACAAATACTGACAGTGCCAAGACATCGGCTCACAATACGCATGGATTCACATAAAGCAAATACTTGTCTGCCTGAACCACTTGGAAGCCTATTTCAATTTATTGTTCAATTATCTTTCCAAGTCACTCACAGATCTCAAATGTGTTGTCTCATCACCACAGGTACAACTCCAAGCTCTCCATTCTCCAGCCACCCAGAGTCTCCCACCTTCCCATCATGCTCAGGCTCGTGGAGCGACGAATGCACCATTTGCTACGAGAACGAGGTGGACACCGTACTCTACGCCTGCGGACACATGTGTCTCTGCTACGCCTGTGGCATCAAACTCAAGAAGATGGCCAACGCATGCTGCCCCATCTGCAGGAGGACAATCAAAGATATCATCAAGACCTACCGGAGCACGTAGGCTAAGACTACAAGTCGCATTGTCAGGTTCAAGAGGTTGTTTAAGCCATGCAAGACTTTGTAAAGACAGATGCAGCACAAGTGAATGCCCCGCTTCTTTAGGTGTGCAATCTGGCTCAGGTACTCTACAGCAGAACTCCTGCAAAATCCATCTTTAAAACATTTTATTTGTCAAATGAAGATCTTTGGAAATCTCACAGCTCCCACTGTGATCCAGCTATGAAACTCATCATACAGTGACAAAAAGTATGTGCAACTGCAGGATCTGCAGATAGGGCCATGGCCTACTCATGTCGAGTGAATCTGTGCTTTGTGTGATTTGTTGAAGTAATCTGAAGAGGCATCTGCCCTACTTTCTGCTGGTGATTGCATCACTGCTAGCTTAAAAAAAAGGTAGTAAAATTGTCCACAGCAGCAGAAGAAACGAGAAGAATAGAAATGTAGTTCCACCAGCTGCTTGTCAGAATGCATTCGGTCAAAAAGTGTAAGAGTAAGAATCAATGCTCATTTCAAATCTGAGCAGTATGTACATTCAGACGTAAGTGGGGAATGGGTAAAAATTAAGAGTGTTTCCTTGTAAAAAACCTAGCAGTACATCTAAAATAAGCCATTTCTTTAATACTCAGAATATTCCCCTGCAATAAAACACAATGAAATGCCTAGGCCTAAAGGGTAAATAAATTAAGTGTTAGTCAGATATCTCACTGCCTGCTGTGCTTCTGTGAATTTCAGACAGGGCGAGATTCTGCGAAGGGGAAAAAAAAGTGTGAATGTTGTCACCATAGAAGGTCAAGCTCACGGTGAATGAAGATGTAAATCAGTGACGAGGGAGCGAGGTAGGAGAGAGGATGTTGTATGTTTGGGACGAAGACAGGGGAGGAAGGGCCACCTTTAGCTGTGTGTCTGCTCATCGTTTCAGTGCAAAGAAAGTGTTTGCTCTCTCAGGCACAGCCTGACATACATCAGAGGTTTGTATGAAAGCCTGTAAAATGTGGGACTTGCATGAGTTGCATGTCCTGCTTCTTGGCGTTCTCAGTCAGCTAGCTAGATGCTGCGGTGGGACAAAAGTCATCCAAATAAACCTTGGTGGGCAGGGAAGTATTTTTAAAATGCTGAACAAGCACATACAGATGACAAAACAATCTCTTCATCATTGCAAGAAAGCCATGAAATCCCTCTGTAAAGTTACAGATGGCTTTGCATACTTCAGGTTACACACACTCCTTCATATGTATATTAAATCAAAACATAAATATTTTTCAGCAGTGACGCATTTCATTAAACCAAGTCATTAAGTGAAAAAACACACACGACTGCAGTCAGTGACAAGGCTTGTTATTGTAGCACGTTGTGAGGTTTGCATATCAGTGTCTCAGTGCTGCTCTTAGTCTGTAAAAGCAAACTCCAAGGACAATTTCATTCGCATAACTTCATGCATTATGTACCGCTTTGAATTGTGAAGAAATGCAAGCTATGTTCAGGTGTCATTTTGGTCTTGCTAAAACTTTACTCTTTTGGTAAGTAGTAGTAAGTGTCATTACGTTTTTGTTTTTCAAGGTGTTGAAGCTTTATTTTGCCGCTGTGGAGGGAAATGTTCTGTTGTATGACGTTTGAGTCAGTCAAGGTTTCTTGTGTGCCTTTAAAAAGAGAAGTCTGGACACATTGGGTCTGCTAGACTCCTCCTTGTAAAAACAGGACGTTTATATTCATCTTAAAGTCGCTCTTACATGGTTGTAATGTCTCTGATGTGAGCAGGTTTCACCACAAAACATACAAAACAAACATTTCAGTGTGCTTAATATCAGTGTGTGAATGTATTCACTGCTATGAAATGTTGTATTATCGTTCCCTTTGTCACTGCATCGCATAATACTGGAATTTTGTTGTGCTTGAGAGATACTCCTTTTACGTTTCTACCTGTTTTTGTTTTACTTCCTGACCAAATATGACCTAGCAGAAATAAAACATGTGTGAAACATTTTTGATAGAAAAATAGCATTGATAAGTGTAATATTAACTGTACATTATGAGGTTTATTTATTTAGTCAACGCTACTATAAAGAAATGATCACTGTTTGTTTTACATGTATAGCTACAGTATACTGTCCAAAAAATAAGAAAATTGTTTATTTGAGTGTTGCATAGTTAATTACAGAACACATTATGCTCCCTGAAAGGCTGTTTGGCATTTTTGGGAAATATGTTTATTAATCGTCTGGTGAAGAATACAATCATTGAGGCCACTTTCAACTGGTATTATGTACATTTACTCACGTTAGGCACAAGTACCTGAAAGTTACTTGAGTAATTCCAAATACTTCTACTCCCAGAAGGAAAATACTGTACATTTTATTTTTAGCTTAAACACAAATGCCCTGTAAAAATTATAGCAATATCGTATACTGTAAACTATAACAATATACCTGACAGAAGTACTTTATCTTTTGATACAGATGGGGAATAGATGGTTAACAAATCATTTAGCAGCTAAAGAGCCAGATATTCCCTCAAGTATTGCTGGAGACCAAAATCAGAGTCTGAAAATGAAGCCTATCATCTTTTTAGCTGACTATTTTCCAGAAAGCAGATAAGCAAACTCTACAAGATGTCAAGTGTTTCCTTGAATGCCATATACAAATGTGTGCTTTGAAAAAGGGAAATAAATTGTTTAAAGGTGGCATTGGTCCTACTTGTGCATATTTCAATGATATCTTGAATTTGTGTTCTAAGTTAAGCAGGCGTAGTTCCAACACAAACATCATTTTCCCAGCCTGCTTGTCAAATGTGACCAAATTGTTTTAAGCCTAAATAAAACAAAAACAGCAAGTAAGTGAAGGAAGACATAGTGCATGGTGGACAAGATTATCAGCTCATAACTTTGGTTTCCTTGGCTTGGGATTTATAGTCGTTAGAAAATGATTTTTAAGGTGGTTTAATCATGTTCAGTTTGTTAAATAAAGGTTTAATTTGAATCACTGTCTTGATTCCTTATTTATTACATGACAAAACATTAAATCATCAGCTTATAAAGAAGTCATTTAAGAAAAAAACATATCCCTATACTTATTTGGCTCGCAATGTTAAATCTGGCCATTTCCATTTCACAGCTACAGTCCTTTTGTGTGCTAGAAACAACTAAATCTGGCACAAAAGATAGGGAATGAGAGAGCATTAGTGCCATTCCCTTTTCCCAGAGCATACATTATATAAATGGCTGATATAATGTCTTGTGCAAAAAATAAATTCAAATTTGAAAGCAATTTGAGGACAAAAAGCTGCCACTTTACACAATCACTCTCTACAGTATATAGCCTCTTGACTAACACCCTGCCTTATACTATATGAATAACAAAGGCAAGGGGCTTTTAGTAAACAGATATAACTCACAGAGAAACTGTTTAGAGTGGTGGTATGTAGACCTGGCCAGAGTGAAGCTCATCTGTTATTTACTACCCCGTGGGCCTGGCTCTAAAGCTGCACTCCAACAGGCACAAATACAACTATGACGTCCGGACATGAAACAGACAGCGGCTGCCGTTCGTGGCCAAGTGTTCTTAGAGGGGAGAGTAAAAACACAGCCAGGATATGTGACAGTGACATGAATACGGTATATCTCACCGGTTTCTGTGTACACACAGACTTTCCACTCAGACCTCTCAGTGAACCTAGCTGTCGGCCTTCTGAAGGCTTAAGGGCTTGGCAGACTTGTTTGAGCAGTGTTATGGTATCTCTTCTGGACAGCCGTTTGGTCAAACGCACATGCCATCTATTAGGGTATCACATTTGTATTCCAAAAAAGCACAACACCATTGATTTTGAATTTGACATCAGACAGCCAGGATTTTGAGTTTGCTCCTCTGTTGTAGCTAAGGCTTTAAGCGTTCAGTGTGATGTAAAATATTTTCCTCAGTGAGATTGGAAGCATTAAGGGACAGACTCTGAGGAGAAGTGCAATTATTTAAAGTACAACGTTGTTCCGAGTGCAAAATATCAATTGAGAGTTTTTGTTGTCACCCTTTTATAATGTAATTGCTGTGTTGATGAAGACAGAGTCTAAGGTTGCCATAGAGCAGTGAAGCTGAGTGCTGCTGCCCTCCAGAGGCCACAAAGAGCTCCAGCACTTTTGCAGAGGACAGAAAACCCTAAAAGAGAAGCACATCAGCAATGGTTTGATAATGACAACACTGGGGAGAGCTTACTTGCACGGTTCTTATTATATTTCCTGCATCAATTTGACAAAGTGCTCTTCACACAAGGTCTACTTACAACTTTGAGAGCCTTAAGTCACATCTTAATCAACTTGCCCAGCAGGTCAAGGTAAAGAATAAACATCCACACTCAGTATAAATTACACTTTGAACAACTTGTGACAGAATAATAGACAGAACACCATCAAATGTGAAGTCATAAGTACTTCGGGGTATCTTTATCTCACCTGCAACATCTAGAATTTGCTTTTTCTCTTTTTTTTACTTATGTGATTTATCCTTTGCAATAAACAAACTCTACACATGAGTACAACAAGCAAGAAAATACAGACAGCCAGCAGACAAACATGGTATAAAGATGATCAACGGGGATCCATAACTTAGTTCCAAGCCAGTGAGCGTAGTATGAGATCCCAATAGAGGAGACAGCCAGCGGGATGGACATATTTCATCCTAAGTTCCTGCAGGCTGTAAATCTTATTATATTCCAGTCACCAAATCCAATATATCAAAAGAGTATGCAGTGTCTCACTCTAGAAAACGGCATCAGGGTTTTGATTTGGTGTTTCTGTGATTATAGCTGAAGGAGACAATATTATAGGCTACAACTCCACACTGGTAACTTCAACTTTTGCTTTGTCAGTCTAAGCTAAATTAAGCAGCCCAGTGACCACAGAATGAAAACCCTCTAAACCAGTCAGATGTTTAGGTTCTCCTGAAGCTGCCAGAGGAGGCCAATCAAAGTGAAATGCACCACTGTGTGGCTCAGAGTGTTGTGGGTAGGAAATAAAATGGATGACAGGCAACCAAGTGTGATCTAATGTATCTGCAGGATCCAGCTGATCAAACACTTTGGCTATGATGCATATGCAAAGGTGTTTTTATATTGGATATTGTAGTGCCGTGAAAAGAGAGTCGGAGGCGGTGTATTAAGAATGGAGTTCCAATCTTTATTATCCATTACTATCAGAGGTTAACACATGCACTGCTCTGCCTGATGAGCTAGCAGGAATGGCAGCTAAAGCTACAGGTGTTCCCCACTAAAGGGTCCGTGGTCCGGGTCCAATAATGTGTCACCACACAAGCCCCCCCAGAATTCACACATAAACAAAATCAGCATGGCGGGGAGGAACGACACGCCGACCCCCACGACTCCTGAGCACGGGAGTCGGAAAAGTGACTTCCGCCTGTGCGGCCCCCGGAAGGGGAGGGACTGGAACAACAGGTCTTAAATCCGTGACAGGGGACGAGGCCGGGGGGCGGGCCCGTCGCGGAGGTCGAGCCAGCACCACAGGCTGGTCCAAGTCCAGGTGAGCAGCCTTCACCCGGTCCACCGAGACGTGCTCGGCCTTGCCACCCAGGTCGACCACCAGGTGCTTGTCCCCGTGCTCCAAGACCCGGAAAGGCCCATCATAAGGGGGCTGCAGGGGGCCTCTGTGTGCATCGTGCCGGATGAACACGTGCTCCGCTGAGCGGAGCTCTGCGGGAACCTGGGACACCTGAGTACCGTGCTGAGTAGTAGGGATCGGAGCAAAGTCCTGCAGGAAAGCCCGCTGGGCCGACGCCGACCAGGGAGCCGATGCGTTAGGGAGGAAATCCCCTGGAACTCTCAACGGCTGCCCGGCGTAGACCATCTCAGCCGTAGAGCACTGCAGGTCTTCTTTAGGCGCAGTCCTCAGGCCCAGCATCACCCAGGGCAGCTTGTCGACCCAATAGACCTATCGCTAAGCCACGCCCCCTTTGAAAACTCGGACAAACAAAGCCGACCGTGAATGACTGTTGACAATGGCCGCGGGGGGAATTCAAGTCAATGTTAGCAGTGGTGGTCACTACATTAAATCTATAACTATAACTGTCCTTGTTGGTCATCATTTTCACTGTTATGCACCTGGCTGACTGTTACGTTACCTTTTTTTGGTTGAGGGTCTGTGTCTTTTCGGAGCAGCACACACGAGAGCCCGGATGGGATCTGGATATTCCAGAGTTGGCTTCCCATCTCTGAAGTGCTTTGAGGGGAAAAGACAGTTAGCTAAAAACACCAGCTAACTAGCGAGGACGAAAAGTCAGACAGCAAACGTTGATGTTGATAACACTGTAGCTAGTTAGCTGGCTAACAAGTTGGCAGCTAACGTTAGTTAGCTGGGCTGGATATACGCTAGCTAGTTGGCAGTCAAAGTCAATCGTTAGCAAACTAATAGTTTGGTCTACGTTTCTAATACATGCCGTCAAATATTATGTCTTTATGAATTGACCTTACCTTTGAGCAATAATAAGTGTCCTTGGTAATTGTCTTCACATTCAGTTGTGTATGTGCTATGTGGTCGACGACACAGCATAATCCACCGCTTGCATTTGTTGAGTTTTCTTTTGGGCTTCGGAAAAGGTACGAAATATACTCCTCCATCCAGTCTTTTAGGGTACCTGGTGTCCGAATTACAGGTACCCCACGCACAGCGTTTCACCATCAGATATTAGCTAGATAATAAACATAGAAACTGAACTCTTCACAGTGGTTTCGATCACAGACGTCTGGTTTTGGTTTGATGCGCCCCACAAACGGCTTTTCTGGTGATGTCCGAGTTTTCTGCCAGGAGGGATTTTTGCTGTGATATGATTGGACAAATTCTATTTGGGGCGTGGTTTAGCGATAGGTCTATTCCCGTCCTTAAGGCCGGCTTTGAGGGCCGCCTTCATGGAGCGATGGAAGCGCTCGCAGAGGCCGTTAGCCTGAGGGTGGTAAGCGGTAGTCCTGTGCAGCTTAACCCCCAAACCGCCTGCCACGGCGTTCCAGAGTTCGGACGTGAACTGAGAGCCCCTGTCTGAGGAAATGTCCGACGGGGTGCCAAAACGTCCGTGGCCGACGTCGAAACAAGCGGGACCGCCTCCGGCCAACGGGTCGTCCTGTCCACCATGGTGAGGAGGTAGGAAAAGCCCTGAGAGGAGGGCAATGGACCAACCAGGTCGATGTTGACGTGGTCAAACCTCCTCTCAGGCACCAGGAAACGCTCCAAAGGGGCCTTCGTGTGGCGGTGCACCTTAGCGCACTCACCAGCCCAAATCCTCACGTCCTTTTTCAGCCCATGCCAGACGAACTTCGCGGCCACCAAGCGCACCGAAGGCTTAACGCCGGGGTGTGACAGTCCGTGCACTGCCTCGAACAGAGCGCCTCCAGCTGGCGGGAACGACTGGCCGCGACAGGCCTGCGGAGACGTCACACAGGAGGGTAACGCCCACGTCGCCGAACACCACGTCCTCCAAGCGCAGCCCCGCGCCCTCCACCTTCAGAGCCTGGACGCCGGGGTCTGTGACCTGATCCGCCGCCATGCGGGTATAGTCCAGGCCCAACTGGACGGCTCCGATGACGACTCTGGAGAGGCAATCTGCAACCAGGTTCGACTTGCCAGCCACGTGCTTAATGTGTCCGCCACTTTAGACATGGCAAAAGTGAGTGGCTTGTGGTCGACAAACGCCGTAAACTCCCGGCCTTCCAGCATGAAACGGAAGTGCCGCACGGCCAAATAAAGACCCAGGAGCTCACGGTCAAAAGCGCTGTACCTGCGTTCTCTGGGCGTCAGCTGGCGGCTGAAAAAGGCGAGCGGCTGCCAAGCGCCCTCCACCCACTGCTCGTGCACCGCGCCGACCGCGTAGTCCGACGCGTCAGTGGTGATGGAGATGGGAGCCGTAGATGATGGGTGTGCCAGCAAAGCCGCCTGAGCCAACGCGGTCTTGACCTCAGCAAAAGCGACGTCCGCCTCTGCCGTCCA